TTTGAGACCCATAGTCTGATTCATCAGCCAGTTTCACTTCGTAGAAACTGTCTGACCTCGCAACATTAGGATTTGTTCTCTCGACAGTAGGTGGGTACTTTTTAAATTTATTTTTTATTTTTCCAAATCCCGTATAGGAAGAAGGGCGGTAACGTCTTTCCCTTGATAAAATTCAGCAAACATTCTCATTGTTCTGGCTTTAAATCCTCAATCTCGGGAATCGTTGCCAACACAGAATGTATGACTCTTCGCTGATTGGCTGGTGCCCGAACTCACATTTCCGGGGTTCTTGGAAATCGTCTAGTGTATTCAGATTCCTGACCTAGTCACTGGAGAGAAATGAAATTCAGTGGAGGCACTAGGTGGCGCCAGCCTGGCTATGAGACCTGCTGAAATGGCTGAGACTTACTTTTGGCACATTTAATTCTGAGTTTCTGTGCCAACTTTTAGCAAACTAAATACACAAATGCACAAAAACAGCTACAAAAAATTGAGAAATCTAATAAATCAGCCAATTTCTTTCTATTTCATCCTTTTAATTGTTCTAAAAGTCTCTGCAACAGTTGTAGTGCCTTTAGCATACATGTTTATGTATGTTTATATCTGTAAAGTGTCACTGCTAACTTGAGACACATTAGTTACATGCATTTCTGTGCATTGTTGTTCCTATGTATCGTTCCACTCAGGTATTGATTAAGCACCGTTATTAGCCGTTTCTTCTAGAGTTTTCTGGTCAGTTAATAAAGCGACACATGACTTTCTGTGTCTGAAATGTGAGAAGTTGTCGACTCCTTTTCATTACGCACAACTTCCAGAAAATCTTTTTAAACCAGTACTTTTTCATGTTATACTTCTACTTTTTGCCCCTGAATGTGTACTTTTACTTAACAAAATTGAGTACACTGAGCACATCCACCACTATCTGCAGGTGCTGGGGGTTAGGTAGTGACCATTCAGAGCAGAGAGACTCCTTTTAGTTTTAAACCAGCTGCATTTCAGCGCTCAAACTGGCAACCCAAATGAGAGACTTGTAATCATTTTTAGAACCAAAACAACATAATATAACCTAACTGTGTCATAATGTTTTTGTATCAAAAATAGAAATTGACTGATGTGTTTGTTTTCATGGTATTTTGGGGCTGAGTTGGATCATTTTTCCTATATTATGCAATTTAAATGTACTACAAACTGATCCACAGCCCCCCCCTTTTTTTTTTTACAACAAACCTTTAAGAGAGCTGTGTAGGCATGTTTTGTGCAATTATCACTTCACATTAAAGTGTTCAAATAAAGGTTTGTATATATTTTGTGTGGATTCTTTACACACTAGGTCAGCCAAAAGAAAATAACGTCCTGTGCTGGAGATTTATGACCAACAGCCGATACTGTAAATATTGGCCAATCGAAATGGAACAGCTCCACCTTGTTTCTGGGACACTGTGAGATCATGTTCTTCTTCCTCCCACTTCCTTTTTCCTTCAACATTTACTATTGTGTGTGTGTGGGTGCATGGGTGTGTGCATGTGTGTGTACATGGGTGTGTGCAGGTGTGTGTACAGGTGTGTGTGAGCAGTAAACAGATGATAAAAATACACTGTGTTAGCTTTAACATTCTATACTTGTCTTTTTTTTTTTTTTTTGTCACTACTTCAATAAAAAGTGATGTTCTTAACTTCCTAACTTAAGCTCAAAATAAAAATCAGTCAAATAAAATGTTTATGCCTTTTAAAATCAAAATTGTTCATATAGTTCCTTTATTATTTTACTTCACCCCGCTTTTCTACCAGCACTGGATTGCAACGAATTAAAAGTAGTAAAGCACTGTACAAGTTTAAGTATACATTTTAAGTATCTGTATTTTACTTAAGTACATTTTAAACTGGAAATTTTTAAATTGAAAAAAAAAAAAAAATAAATAATAGTCTGAGACCTGCTGAAAAGGATGAGTTTATTTTTAACATGTTCATAGTCTGAGCAAAAAATATACAAATAAAACCTGCTAGAAAATAACAATTGATTCAATCTAGCACATCTTTATTAAAATCACTACATTTGAAGCTTTATTAGATCTCAAAATATGAGCAAAATACTTTTACTTAAGCAGATTTTTCATGTGATACTTTTACTTGAGTAAAATGTTTCTCAAGTAGTTGTACTTTTACTTTAACAAAACGGAGTACTTGTTCCATTACTTCATCCTACTACTGTATGTCATCACTCACTGTCCTAACCGCAATCGTGCTACTCCCAATGATTTTACAAATATTCTATTGCACAATCTAAACTTTCCATTGTTGTTAATACACACTGTTCCACATGTCAGCTTGTACTGTGTGTACTATTTTTATTATTGTTTCTACACATGGACAGACTGTTTACATAGACACCGAATTCAAATGCTGACTCATGGTACACTCAGTTCTACTATTAAAGGACACTCCAATCAGAGTTATATTAAGTCGTGTAATGTAGTGAATTATGTAGACAGGTACAGCAGTTGTTCTTGTTTATGAGGACATATTGTGTTCATAACTCTGTACATATCTGATTACAGTTAAATTCTCCTCAAGGTTTGGTAATACTCTCCCTGCTGTTTTATGCTCTTGAGCAACATACATTTTCACATGACGTTATGCATAAATAAAGAGATGCCGCAGAAGTAAAAGTTTCTGGTAGAGTTTTTGTCACCTGTTTGTGTCAGTAGAAATGCTATTACTTTGCTTGGAATGTTCCACAGTCGAGCATTCAGCTGCTATATCATGCATTTATTCAATTACAGGTGTTTTTATTGCTCAAAAATACAATGAAAAGCAATCTGTAACTTGGACTAGTGGTGTCACCTGCTTGGCTCAATGGAGCAAGTGGGTGGCAGCCAGCTTGGTGCCACCTAGTGCCTCTGCTCAATTTCATTTCTCTCCAGTGAGTAGATCAGGAATCAGAATACTAGACAGTCTGAAAGAAACCTGGAAGCTGTAGACCACGCACCAGTCAATCAGCAAAGAGCTGTGAAGCACCTGTCTGGGTCCTTTTTGTGGTACAACACAACAGTAAACAAAGCGGTCGAGATGGATGTAAACTAAGAACCATATATTCTGTGTTGGCAACGATTCCCAAGATTGAGGATTTAAAGCCGGAACAAAGAGAATGTTTGGTCAATTTTATCAAGGAGAAAGACGTTATTGTGCTTCTTCCTACAGGATTTAGCCCATTACCTACGTCACGACCAAATAGCAGCGATTGGTTAAATGAAAAAACTACCCGCCTACTGTCAAGGTCAGACTTCCAGGTTTCCACGAAGTGAAACTAGCTGATGTATCAGGCCAAGTGGGTAGCGGACGTCTTTCAGAAAAGTTACGTATTGCACCTTTAAGATAATTGTAGGTATGCAAATGAATATGTCAAGTGGTTGTATATAAACAAAATAAGAAAACTGTCAAAAACTGCAACAAATAGATGATAATTGCTGCCTGGGATCTAGAATACACAGTTTTTCAATACTTTACAAAGATTTGAGTCTGGTAACCGGTGAATCTCCTCGAGTTCAAATGGGCATTGTGATGTAGGTTGACCGGGAACAGGTTGAGGTTCAGTGTGTAAAGTTTAAAAACACAGACAAAGGTGTGAAGATGTAGTCCACACTTTACTTTTTTTTTGGTTTTCAATTGTTACAAAAAGTGCAAGTGCAAGTGCAAAAAAATAAAAAATAAAAAAATCCAGGGTGCACTATGGAGGCAGGCAGCAGTTCCTCTCCGAGCAGAACACAGAATGATGTATTGAGGCGCCTTTTATCTGATCTGACTGATTGGGTAAAACTACTATAGCTAAAACAGGGAAGGTAAAAATTAACATTAGCTTAAAATATTGCCCTGCCACTTCATAAAACAAACCCAAAACTAAATAACTCTTAAAACCACAACTATATACATAAAACCCTAAAACCATACACCACAGAAACTTTAAAACCCATAAAACAATAAAACACCAGACCTACTACCCCTGTGCAATATATTACACTTGGTCCTGCCCGGAACCTTAAAAGGGGGAGCTCGTTGCCTGGGGACTCTTTTATAACCTGGACAGAAGAAAAATTTGGTAAGTTTAAAGCAAAACTATACCACTCATTAAAACACAATAAAATACACTCACACACACACATCAACACGTAAAACTTTCCAGACAGATATACAGCACCAAATATATATTGCACTAACTCAATTTAAAATAGGTAATTTGTTAAATAATCATGTCTCCTTCTCCTCCAGGGACCAGCAGCTCTCAATTCAGTTTGCCCCTCTAACCATAAAAATAAAATAAAATTGGGTGTATTCATAGAAGATAAAAGAAGTGAATTTGGTATTAATAATTTATTGATTTTAGGTAGTATTTTTTTCACAAATGTCGTTTTTTTTTTTTAAGATAAAACCAAATAGAACACACTTTAAGAATGACCCGAAGGTTTTTGTTAACTCATTGAACCTGATTGAGTTTTTTGATTAGGTTTCTTGTGTCCTTTTTGAACGATGTTGATTTCTTTGAACAGAAGCTTTAGAATGGTCCCCTTTGTTTGTAAATGTTTTTTGTTTTTGCTTTTTTTTTCCACAATTGTTTTGATCTTTTGCTGTGTTTCGATCTGATCTTTGTATGATGTCTTTTTTTTTTTGTATCTGGGGTTCTGAAGTACTAATAATTTTTTTTTAAAAGGGGGTGAAACAAACAAAACCAAATATGGCTGCTAAAATTCTAAATGATGGGTGACCAATGAGCTCCTTTGTTTCATATGCGTCACTTGAATCTTTATCAAAAGATTTACTGTCATATTTTAGCAAATTTCTGGCAGATTACGAAATTATCATCTGATTCTCATTATTGGAAGATCTGGCATATCAAATCAAAAACAAAATATTTCACATGCTTTTCTCTTTACTTCCTTTAACCCAACCGTCTCTTCCATTTGGTCCTTTCTCCTCTCCTCTGACTCCCTCTATCATTTGTATCTGCAGGTAAACATGACGCAGGGAACCTCCATCGTTTCTCCGGCTCGGTGTTTGGCTCGGCCGCGTCCTCATCACTGCAGCCTCTGACACACTTGGGGGAGAGCACAGTGGAAGTGCCCCAGACCTGCTCCCTTCAAGTGCCTCTATATTTAGACCCTTTGTGCGTCACTGCGTCTCCGGAGCAACTGCCTCTGATGCTTTGGGGTGAGTGGACGATTATGAAACACGTTGGATATTATATGTAAGGAAAGGGGTATGGAGGAGGAGGAGGAGGAGGAAGGGGAGCGAGTCCAAAAGTTTCAAGAATGTGTTATGTAAAAATTATGTAAACTGGCTGTAATAATGATAATGTAAGAGTTTATAGCAACAATCATGACAGCATTTTTCTTGACACTCAGTGTTGCTTCACTATTTGGCGCATTATTCACAGGAAGTGTCTTGCCCAAGAGCATAACAATAGTGCCAAAAGCCAGTAGGTTCTCTCAGATCTGTTTGTCAGCCTCTGCATTCACAAGTAGCTTATCCTGTTGTCTGCCTAGTTAAACGTCAATCTTAGTAACTTTATACTTTTCTGTTAATGGTGCACTCTGTAACTTTTCAGATGGAGGGTGAGATGCCTGCTTTTCCCCATGGACTTGGTATAGCTTTGCCTGAAATGTTCAAAAGTATGCTGTTAAACTTATCTATCTCCATAGAGACAAACATATGAGAACTTAGTCAGATTATAGGTCAAATTCACAGAGGAAACCCCGCTCACAGTAAGAATGCAGATTTTTCAAGGTACTTTTTGAGTATAAAAAACAGTAATTGCATAAATGTAAGCTAGAAACTTAATATAAAAAGAACATAGTGCGTCTTTAATACCTCATAGTGAGTAGTGTTGGCTGACTCATGTACTGCACACTGCTCTATTAGAGATGTAACAATAACCGAAATATCATGATATCGTATCGTCAACATTCTCACAATAATATCATGGATCATCACAATATATTAAATTACAAGTCTCTTTGTTTAAATTAAGAGTTAAGGTACAGCAATAGCTTAAAAAAAGACAGAGGGAACTTCATAGACCATGATCTTTTGCTCCATTTCAGTGTAGATTACATGAAGAAATAACAGTTCTAAGCACTTTTAGTTTTAGTTCTTTGGATTAAGTCTTGTCAAGGCATTTTAAGAGGAAAAAGTAGCATATTAACAGTTTTGTTAACCTCCACAAAATATTGCAATAAATATTGTACTGTGAGATGTATATTGTGAAAATATTGCATAAATATCTTAAGAGATTTGGATATTGTTACATCTCTAATGGTGAGCCTCCCCTCCATATCGTCCCGTGAGGTTCATACCAGGACAATATCATATCGTGAGACTTGGATATCGTTACACCCCCTACGCTCTATGGCATTTTCAGGCCAACAGAGAATTGTGCCGGTGCCAGTTCCCGCACCTAATCTTGAACCGACTCACGTGTTCACGCCGGAAATCGGCGGAATGTTTGGGAAACTTGTTTTTTCTAACCGCACCGTGACGACACAGAAGACGTCAGCACGTTCATCCAGGTCACACACGGTAAAATAAACAAACAGCAGTTGAAACTGTCATGTATGAAATTAAAAGTTTTAAATCTACAAAAACTATTCGCCTGATAAGATTACATCTTTGGATTGGGCATCACTGCTGCCTTCTCCACAGCAGATCGATGTTGTAGCAGAGCTTGGCGCACATAAATAATGACTAGTATAAGTACAAATGCTCACTGGTGTTGATGATGCGATCCATGATTGTTATTTTCCTCCCTATGACATCCGTTTTTGTGTGGCCTTGTTTTTATTTGGTGGTAAATCCAAACCCTCGATGACCCGTCATGGGTTCATGTAAATGGTTTGAATGTGGGTCGTTCACCTGTGAGCACTTTGGTTCGCAGTTGGACTGGTGCGGGAACTGGCACAAGCACTGTTCTGACTGGCCTGAAAACAGCTTTAGTGGAGGGTCTCATGCTCTGGTCATGAGATATTGTTGTTTAGCCTGGAATGTTACAAGCAAAACAAACTATCTGTTTATTTGTTCAATTACAGGCATTTCTAATTTGCCAAAAGTACCTTGAAAGACATGCATCAGTCCGACTGTGAGCAAGATCACCTTTCTGTAGATGCAACTTGGCCTTGACCTACTTATCTCCATGAAGATAGATAAGTTTAATGCCATACAGTGGAACATGCCAGAGAAAGCATTAACATCTCGAGAAGATCACTGACCCAATGTCTGAAATGTTATATAGTGCGTCTTTCATCAAAGAAATTAGAGAGGTATGAATAACATGGGAGTGTTTTGTAATAGCAGTTAAAAATAACTCAAGCTCTTGATGTTTTGTTGACCCACTTTAGTCTCCTCTAATAAACCAAGCCTCAGTCACCTCTTGAGATCCTTGAAATTCAAATTCAGTTAAGCTGATACTATGAACAGAGGAAATGACAAAGGATCATGCAAACTGCTCTTGTGAATTTCTCCGGCGGAAGCAGTGAGGTACTTTGGACCTGTGCAGTGAGTGACCCACAGTCCATGAAAAGGTGGAGGATTAAGCTGCTGCTCTGGTTATATAAAGCTGCTGTTGTGTTACATAATGCGTTCATAATGAGAGGCAGGACAGATATAGATGGCCCACTTTCCACATGATTCACTTCAACATGACAGTGGCACAATGTCCCGGGCACCCAGCATCGCTATAGAAACAGTGCCAATGAGGACTTAACCTGAACCTTCTCCCGGGACAGAACATAAAGTGTAGATGTATGTATGGCTACTGTTCTGTTCTCCCAGAAATTCAGACTGTATAGAATGGACTCCATTTTATAACAATAAAAAAAGGATTGAATCAAAGGGCATCACACTCCAACTTTATTACAGCCGATTACCCAGATACTAATTGACACCAAAACTGCATACTGGAAAAAATACAAAGCTTGACCTAACTAATCGTTTTATAAATGTATTGACCTATATTAGAACTAAAACCATGTTGTAATATTAGAAGACATATTATGTAAATTCAAGTTTCATTCAGTCATTAGCTTACTCAAAGCTGTACTTGATTGAGTCATGCATGCCACAGTAATCTTGTATTGACCTGCATTCAAGGCTTAAGCGCATAAAAAATTCTGTTTTCCCTACACCCTATTCCATCCACTGCTCTGTACTAAGAAGACTCAGATTCTTGATTATATAAATGTGGTTTTCCAAAGATAAAAACATGTTAATGAAAATCCACTGACTGCGATGGTGAAATGTCTTTATGAGGCACGTGAGTTCTGCAGGTTTGAACTGGAAGTTAATGGAGCTATTTCTATTGTTAAGCCATTTTAGATCAATACTGCGTTTTAAAATGATTAAAATGTAAAACAATGATGTACACTGCCAATCAACCGTGTACATTACATGTATTTTATAAGTCATCAAACATCTGATACAAGATATATAGAATTATGTAGTTAAAAGGCCCATGTCATGCAAAATAACTCTTTTCACATTGTATCTTATGCACATATAGAAGCACAATTTGGGTTTTGGAACATCCATTACACAATAGTTATGAAATCTTACTGATTTCTTGGAAGCAGTCACAGACCAGGAACTATGAATGGCCGACTATTGCTTATCCCCCCGACCGTCCTGAGAAAGCACAGGCTCCGCCCTCCGAAACGTGACTTAGGCTCTGAGGGCGCCGCCCTTCCTCCTGCGTCATCGTTGTAGCAGCTTTAGTTCGTTGTCACATGGGAGGTTGGCAGAAATACGCATAATCAATCTAAAAACCACTTCGGCTACAAAGCCCACACATCACGGTACAATATTTATTGCGATATTTTGGAGAGGCTGATATATAGAGGACACTTTTTTGCTTTTAAAATACCTTGACAAGATTTTGGTGTGAATTATTACTGTCATAATTCCAAGCATTCAAATAAAAAACAAATTACTTCATGCTGTCTACACTGAAATGAATGAAACAGGATTTTGTAATTTGATATATTGTGACAGCCCACTATATTATTGTGAGACTTTTGACAATACAATATCACAACATTTTGGTTATTGTTACATCCCTACTAAATACCTAAAAATATGTAATATGCCTTCTTTAAAAAAACTAAAACAAGTAGAGTCTGAAATGTAAGTATGGTGACAACACTACAGCCAACAGTATATATATAGAATTACTGCATAAGACACATGCATGTAAGGGGATATCTTGTTGACGTTGGTGAAATCTAAAACCTAAACATTTCTGGTGACGTTCTGTTTTCTGTATGTACTCTTAATCTATGGAGCCGGAGAATTGTTTTCTAACTGGGACACACTGGTCTTTGTATAATATTATGTCAACATTTACAACAGTGATGTGTCAGTTTGGTAACACTAAGTACTTTACACAACACTTATATGATTGCACAGTGCTGTAACTGTACACAAGCAGGATTTATAGACTTGTTGTTCACCTGTGAAACCTACAGACAAGATGTGACACTGAAAGTAGAAAATACTGCCCCTAAGATGGAAAAGTACAAGCAAAAAGCAGAAAAAAAAATTAAAAATTAAAAACACTGCTTTTAGAAGCCAACTGTCTGTGTGAACACAATCAAAATTTTTAACCTGATTCATCAGTCGGTTTCACTTCATGGAAACCATCTGACCTCGCAGCATTAGGATTTGTTCACTCAGCTGTAGTCGGGTATGTTTTTTTATTTAACCAGATGCTGCTATTTGGTCATGATGTATGTAATGCACCAAATCCCGTAGGAAGGAGGGCAATAACGTCTTTCCCTTGCTAAAATTCACCAAACATTCTGTTTGTTCCGGCTTTAAATCCTCAATTTTGGGAATCGTTGCCAACACAGAATGTATGACTTTGTCTACATCCATCTCGACCGCTTTGTTTACTGTTGTGCTGTACCTCAAAAGGGACCCAGACAGGTGCTTGAGTTTGATGTCTTTGCTTCACAGCTCGTCACTGATTGGCCGGTGTGCGATCTACAACTTCCAGGCTTCTCGCAAAGCAGAGCCTCTGCTCTGCACTAGTTGGCACCAGACTGGCTACTAAATTCTAGCTGTAGGTATGTAATATATTGAATAGAGAACTGCCTTTATAATATGACCTGTTTGAATAGTACATGAATGTTTTCACTGCGTGAACTAGCAAATGACATTAAGGACATGTTATTGTATTTTTATATTATTTAACCGGTAGGCCTGTCACAATAATGAGTATATCGACTTATTGTTCTGTGCATGAAAGGCAGAACAATATAGTTTGGGGTTTAATATTTATCATGTGTACATTTTTTTTTACAACAGTAGGGAGATTTTTGCTACTTTTATGTAATATAAGATGTAAGCTGTAAAGGGTTCATTACTTCATTATGATTTTTATTTGTTGCAGCTCAGGCCTTGTAATTATACTATCTATTTTAAAATAATTTATTTATTTTAAAATTAATACAATCAATTTTGCTTACTTTATGCTGCTTTTCCGTAACAATATGTCATGCTTCAAAATGTGTTATTGTGAAAGGTCTATTAACCAGGACAAGTCTCTAGTCAAGTTCTTAAGCAGCTACTGAGCAATTTCCGATTCACTGGAAACAGTGAGTGCAACTGAATAAGTGTGGAAATTGGTGACCAAACCACTCTAGTTGTTTGCTTTACTTACTTTACAGTCAGAACCAGATCATGTGTAATTTCTTACTGAAATGAAATCGATGAAGCAATTACTTCAAGTGTGTTCTGCCACAGTAAAAGTGTGTTTCTACGAAGAGTTAAAAAGGTTTATAATAATTTAGTAATAAATATGTTCTAATTCATCTGTTATAATTTCATACAGACAGAGGCAGAAATCAGTTAGAGGAAAAGAAGCGTGTTAAAGAAAACCAGTTTGTTGATATCCTGTGTGTTAAATCTTATTTACACCTTCGAAAGCAATGGCTGTAAGTTTACTATGTGTTTGGTGACTTAAACTTGTTCTGTAAGATGTTGTAGAGATCGTTTTTTGCAGGTTATTTCCAGGAATTAGACCTAGCCCATGATCTTGCTAGCTCAGGAGCACTGTGTATTAGCATAGTACTACCTCTATTCACGCGTATTAACGGACTAATTAGCATATGTAAAGATCGCGAAAATCTAAAGACTTGTTAAAGAAGCAGTTTGTGGTGCTAGCTATTTCTCTGATGGATTTCTGTTCTTATATTGCCAGCTAATGTACATTTTATTTGTTTGTTTTTCAGTTTCACTTGGGCTTTTCATGCCACAGTTGTAACCAATTGTAAGCTGTCTAGAAGACTGCATTAAAGGAGCAAGACGCTCAGTTTCCTGGCTCATGAAAAGCGAGTATGACTTACTGTTGATCTGCGTTTACATACACGATGTATCCAACACGTAGTGATAACAGTACAAAGTGAATTGGGGCCTGTTTACAAAAGAAAGCTTGCAGGTAAAAATGTCAAAATATTTTATCGGAAGTGTCTTTCGTTTAGATGGTGATGGCGTTTTGGGGCTTAAAAATGCAAAATCTGAAACCACCCTCCAGAGAGGAAAAGTTGAATACGCTCCGCTGTAGCATTTCCATCTACACTGGCCAAGACACAAAACTCTGTTCAGATCTGCTCACGTCGCGTACGCATTTACGTCACATACATACAGTACATAGAAACCTGACATGCATACCCAATCCAATTCCACACACTTTTGCGTCACCGTATGCACACAGATTTAGTCCCGAAAAACGCTCGTCTAAACAGAATAAAAAGTGAAGCCGCGACACCACTTTTGCGTCTTCTGTTGAGACGGTCATCATTTAAATGTAGCCTTAGTGAACTCAATGTTGATATAGGGAAAGGATTCGACACCATAAATATGAGGAAAACCACTCTTCTGAAGACAATGGAATGTTATTTTCATCACAAAATATTAGTAATTTATTTTATTTTTTCAGTACAACAAAATGGTTTTGTTAAAGGGCCAATGTTACTTTATTCTCTGGTTTATGTTGTAATGTTGTTTCCTCATTAAAAACATACGTGGACTTGTGTTTTCTTTTATTCACACATGGTTAACACACAAATCATACATACAGTTTTTAGGTTGAGTTCTTCTCTCATTCAGAAAACATGCTGTTTGATCTTGTGACGTCATGTGATAATACACGAAGTGCTCCTTGGTGTTTTTAAACTCCATACACTTTCACTAGAATCATTTGGATGATTTCAGTAGTGGAAAAGCCAATCTCTACTGAACTAAAGGTAAAGAATAGCTGTTAACTTGAAAACTACAGCTTCATGACATCACAAGGTGGAAGAGAGCATTTTGAGCTTTGGATATGTAGACATAAAGTGTTACTCAAACATTTGTGAATGAAACTAAACACAAGTGGGTCATGTTTTTGAAGATGTTTCAGCATTCTAACATGGCTTAAAGATTTGATTTGACTTGGCACAAATTTGAAATAAAAACGAATCAAGAGAGAAACAATAATCCTATATATTCTACATAATAAACAACAGAAAAGCGCATTTCTCAAAAAGGAGTGGGAAGAATTAAAAACTTATATTAACCCACCACTATTCATAGTTTCAAAAATTCAAAAATGATGTGGTTGCTGTACATTGATGTATGTACAAATATTGTATGTGCAAATATTTACATATAGCAACACAAATTAATACTATGCATACTAAATATTGTTTTAACTACATTTCTTTCTCTTTTTTTTTGTATTGTACTGTATTATGGTTGTACAAACAAAGCTCACGAGTCAATTTTGCTTAATGTAGGACCTTTAATGAAAAAATATGAGAGATAATAAGTAGTTGCATATTTTGTATTTTGAAAATTGCATATTCTGTAATTTATTTCTGTTTGGAAAACAATTTCTCTATAATAATGTTCATTTCTCAGTCCGAGTCAATTCAAAATCCAAGTTATATTTAGTGTCAGTTTTGCTGCATCACTACAAAGTCTGTATGAGTGTCCTCAGAGGACCTCCTGACGACGCGCTGACATTCAAATCTTTCAACACTTGCATAAAACCATTCAAGCTTTTCTTTGTCACTCCAAAATGAAATTAGAGTGATTATCTGATTTTTGGCAAACTTTGGGAATGCTTGGTATTTAAACTTGCAGTAACTTAACTGTAGTCCTTTGTTGTCATTTTGGATTTATAATAGCTGAAATAAATTATGCAGACTAGAATATTCTCCAGTCAGATAAGGTCAAGTTTGTGATGAAATGTGTGGGTTGTGTCAACGTTACACAAAAAATTACACAATTGCTGTTTTGAATATTCACGTTAGTCTCATCGTGCTTTCAGCAAACAGGAACACAGCCAGATACCTGTAATGTAGAGTTTGGACAGGTGCCCACAGGTTACATACTTCACAAACAACTTGAAATTAAAAACTAGGCTTATAGCTGAGTTCATCTGATTCCACTGTCCTCATGCAACCTGATAAAAGTGATTGCATAATATAGCCTTTCAAATGTAAGAAAATGTAACATTATAAGCTTCTCTTATGACATTTAAAATGTACACTTTCTTTGGTAGAGAAAAAAATAAGTGGATTCTAATTAGTGACAAACCAAAATATAAAAATACTACATTACAAAATGAACAACTTCAAGTGTCAGATGATGTGCTTGTGCTGTTTAAACAGTTTCTTGTGAACTTTTAGCCATGTTAAAATGTGGTTACCTCTTCAAAAACATGTCCAGAGTTGTGTTTAGTTTCATTCAGACATGTTTGAGTAATGTTTTATTGTTGGTCTGTCTCCATCTCCAAAGCTCGAAATGCTCTGTTCCACTTAATGATGTCATGTAATTGTAGTTTTCAAGTTAACAGCTCCTTTTTACCTTTTGTTCAGGAGAGATTGGCAACTGCAGAGCTGAAATCATCCAAATGATTATACAGTAGGTGGAGTTTTAAACTTCCTGTTTTCTGTTTAAAAGAAGAATTGAGACAAAATATGAAGGATTTGTGTGTTAAACATGTGAATGAAGAAAAAAAAGAAAAAAAAAAAACTACAACTCCAGGTCTGTTTGTGATAAGAAAACAACATTATTAAATTTTAAGATCAGAAAATGGCATTATCAGTCTTTTCATTTGGGAAGAAAGTCTCATCCTGGGTCTTTGGTGCATTTGACCCATCCCTAAATAGCAAGAGGGGTGGGTGGGTCAAATGCGCCAGATGGTTGCAGGATGCTGATTTATTAAAAAATAATAATAAATCAGCATCATGCAACTAGGAATGAAAATAAATATCTCAATATTTTTGGACCTGATGACAGCAGAAGATATTGTCAAAAAAATGTCAAAAATATGCAAAATTGTATCTGCAAATGTCTTGATTATTGCAAAAAAAAAAAAAAAAAAAAGTGAATAAAGTATAACAGTACAAATAAAAAGGCAGAAGTATCACCTTATATCGCTTAGATTACACTGCAAGTTTGTAATATTTTCATTCGTTCATTTATTTTTTTCATTTGTAGCTCTTTTTGCTGTCTTTTATAATAGTCAACTTAAATGATTTAAAAAATAGAATTTTTTTTCTTTTGTGCAAATTTATATTTGATTTCACTATTGTGAAACACATTTTTTTCTCCCACCTCTATGTGCTGCCTACTATTTTCATAAAAAAAACAACAACACAATAGCAATTTGCACTTCAACCAAAATCAACAAAATCCACTGTGAATGACGACGACGACCACCACCACGGCCACGACCACGACCACCACGACGATGATGATGATGATGATGATGGTAATGATGGCGATGATGATGATGACAACAGTGAGTGCGTATACATGCACATCAGTTTTCATTATGATCGGGTTTTTTGAGTATCCCAGTTTCTTCATGGTGCATATATACACAGTAACCTGAATACTGACATAACCGGGATATGGCTAATAACCGGGATACTGATGTGCATGTATACGCACTCAGTGACAATGATGATGACAGTGGTCAAACTTTTTCATGTATTGTTATTGTGTAAACTGGAACCACATATTGTGTTGTGAAAATCAGAGACCAATCAATATTTGAACTACAGTCAAAAGTAGATACTCATTTGAGCAGGTATTGATACTAAAAAAATCACATCCAAAGGACAGAAATGATCTTGAGCTGTAAACATACAAGTTTAAGACGTACCTGGACGGCTGAGAGATTACACAAAGACCACGTTTTCTACAAGCACTACAATTTCAATTCTATTGTCTAAATAAGGACAGTTTTATATTATCATCGTATTGAGTGAAATCTAGTTTGAAACTGTAGTGTTGTGACAACACTAGTCTATAACCATCAATAATTGCAATTGCAATTTAGGATTTATTTCCTTGTTAAAATTAAAACCAGTTTATTTTGTAGTTTCTGTTTTAAGGCTGCAGTGACCTAAGTGTTGTCCTTATTGGCAGTTCATCTCCTGGACCCCCCTCGGTCCCCTCACTCTGCTCTCTGTTGTTGTAATGCTGTAATGTGAGCTCATGCACTCGGACCATTGAATCTGGATTGTGCAACAGCCCGAGGAGGAGAGGCCAGTGTGTGCAGGACAATGCTCATATTCAGCTGGTGCGATCCTTACGTCACACTGAAGCGTGTGTTGGTGCTATAGAACACAGACAGATGCAGACAGAATACAGGCCTTTGTGCCGCCACATAATGGAGAAATCTGGGGCTTTTGTAGTTGCACACTGCCACATAGGCATGTTTCCAATGACAGTGCAGTCCACACTATGATCGTTTGTCAGAAAATAATAAAGAACAGTAAAGTAAAAGGTAAATGGCCACATTTTTATAGCTCTTTTCCACCCTCAAAGCACTCAGAGTGCCTTGAGGGTGGAAAAGAGCCATAGCTGTCACCCAGTCACACACACATTCATGCACCAGTGCACTGAAGGCGAATATCTTGCCCAAGGACACGATAGTATTCATTTGTGGGAGCTGGAATCGCACCACCAACCTGGCGGCCAGTGGATCTGACCGCTTAACCACTGCCTCTAGTACAAGTCCAATCACAAAGGAGGATTACACTCCTAAATTGTAAGAAATTCCCTTGATTATCAGTAATCTGTCAGTGTCTGCTGGCAGCAGAAGTACTCCAGGTGAGAAAAAGAGCTCAGAGGCAGTCAGCTGTAGCAACAGGCAGGTCCAGGCCACAATAATGAATGCAATTTGAGCTGTGGCATGTTTGTTTTGTTGACAATCGGCCAACATAAGGTGTGTTTTAAAGATCATTAAACTTTATTTTCAAAATAAACACTACTATTCACGAACCTCCATTCAAATTTATCAGTAATAGTAAACCAGACTTTTTCTTTCAAACACATTCACTGAAGAGACACCACAGGCAGCAGGGATCCCTTTGTGGTACATCTGTCCATCTGTCAATACAGTTAGTTACTGGTCATGTGTTTGGCCAGGGGCACTGATGTGCGTGTGTGTGTGTGGGTGTGTGTGTGGGGATGTGTGTGCGTGTGTGTATGTGTGAGCGTGTGAGTGTGTGTGTTTGTGTTCAATAGAGCATCAAAAGGCTCAAACTGCCTTCATTTAGCTCGGGGCACGGCACTCTTGTGGATCTATTGAACAGGTTATATTTAGTTGTTTACTGTCTTAAACTTCATCACCAATCATTGTCTTCCTCCATTTTACAAGTCGTACATAGAAGTGCTCTGACGTTAGCTTTCCAAGAACACGTTATTTCTATTCTTTTATTACAAAGTGTTCTGTTCGAAATATGCAACCTTGGCAAGTTTTATTGAAAGAAGGTGATATGATGATTTGAGCTGTAAGCAGACAATGTAACATGCTGTATTTTGTTCTTGTAGCCCTGATCACACCAGCTCAGGATCTTTTCAAGTTTGATCTTCATGTTTTAACGACTGAAGGGGAAGATATTAGTTACAGTTCCGTGCTTCTATAGATTTAGCTTTTAAATGTATTTTTGATGAAGTGTGAATGAATCTAGGTCGATTCATGATAGACGGTTTTATAAGAAGGACCAGTCATGCCAAAACTAGATTGTGAAAATGTTGCCATTCCTGTTCTTGCTTTAATGCGCCGCAAGGTGACTTCAGGTAATTTGAGTCATTTAAGGTGAAATGAACCTCAATCTCGTCTGGCCTTGTAAGTCTAGTGTATGCCTGCATTTCACACCTGCAAACTCTGTTGGCATTGGAAACAGATTTTAAATTTGCATCAAAACTTTGATGTTAATTGTTTTGAGTTGAGTTCTTTTTTTTTTTTTTACTTGAATCTGCTTTAGGAATTTTTTTCTTCTTAATAAATAATAATACATTTATTTTCAAGCCAGGTGCTTTATGATGGTGCATGTTTTGTAGTAAGCTTCTAAACTGCCCAAATATGATATGCATTTGAGAGTTTACATATCAGATCATTACAGTGGGAGCCTCTATTTAAAATGATAAAAAGTAAAAAAAAATTCTGAGTTAGTAAAAATAAATGTTGTAAGTTAGTGTTTCTGTTGAGGTGATGAAAAAATGATGAAAACAACATGGAGCTTACATGAAGATTACAGTTTTTTCAACCGCTTTGCCACATTTTCTGAAACCTTTTCTAAATCTGGCAAATCTTTTGAGCTCTTTGCAAAACTATTTATGCAAGACACAAAATGGTTGAAAAATGTTAAAAGGACACTTTGTGGTTTAAATTCAAACACAGTGATCAGATTTACAAGCTTTACAAGTTTTTTCCTTATGACCTCTTATATATAACTGTGATATACTATAGTTATAGGGGTGTGCAAAAATATTGAAATATCGATATATCGTATTGTATTAATGTGCTGATTCAGATATATCGCCAACAGTATTTTTTGGTATATTTTACTAAATTATTTTGTTGCAGCACTACAGTTTTGTCACTTGTTCAGAGGAAGGAAACTGGTTTATGCAACACATTTTCATGACATTTTCACTGCTTTGATGATTAAAATGGATGGGTTTCATATTCACTTTGCACAAGAAATGGTTTAACAAAACCTTTTAGTATCACAGCTATGATTTAGCCTCTGTTTTTCACTGAACTGTATCAAACTGATTTGAAATATTTATTGAATCATATAGTATTGTGGCCTACGTATGAAGTTACGTATTGTATCAGCAACTTCTGAATGATACTTGCCCTATGTAGTTATATTACTATATTTCCATTTTTTACTTTACACGTATGTATACATTTGAATAACTATTGCTATTTTTGCTACATATTAATAAATTATTGCTACCATTTATATTTTTTGTTATATTGTGATGTGTGAGTTGCTTTGTCCAAAGAATTTCCCTTGTCGATCAATAAAGCTACATTTAAAATATTTGTACAATATTATATAATCATTCAGGAAACAAAAAAGCAAAATTTTAAGATCTGTGCTTTTTAGAGGTTGGTATCTGAAGTGCATGGCCCTCGAAGTCTTTGAATGAACCAGGTTTTCACTACAGAAGTCTTTTACATTGTGCCTTTGTGTCTGTCTGTGAAATCTCTTCATATTGTGATTTCTTTGAGTTCAGTTTTGTCCTTTGTCTCTTCGGTCTGTGGACTTTGGTAAGACTGTGCAGTATTTATGTTCACAGACTGAGGCACAGGCAGAGAGAAAGAGAGTTACAATTGCAGTCTTGCTTATGACGCTGCTTGAGTCAGTGATTGAAAAAAAACAAACAACAACTATAAGCTACACTGGTGACCTCTATGCTGGAATATTACTAATATTTTAAAGAGCAACACTTTGCAAAGAAGTTTCTTGGAAAATGTGCACTGACAGAAAAGCACAATCAGCGTAATGTTTGGTGATGACCTGAAAAAAAAAAAAAAAACATTTACTGCTGCTGTTGTTCCTGGTAGTTGTAATTCCAGTAGTAGTAGTAGTAGTAGTAGTAGTAGTAGTAAAAGTAGTCGTAAAAGTAGTAGTAGTAGTAGTAGACGAAGCAATAAAAGTAGTAGTAGTAATAGTAATAGACGCAGTAGAAGCAGTAAAATGTAGTAGTAGATGCAGCAGTAGTAGTAGTAGAAGCAGTAATAATAGTTGTAGTAGTAGAAGCGGTAATAGTAGTAGCAGTAATAGTAGTAGTAGCAGTAAAAGTAGAAGCGGTGAAAGTTATAGTATTAGTAGAAGCAGTAATAGTAGTAGTAGGGGCACCAGTAGCAGTAGTAGAAGCAGTAAAAGTAGTTGTAGTAGTAGAAGCGGTAATAGTAGTAGCAGTAATAGTAGTAGTAGCGGTAAAAGTTATAGTAGTAGTAGAAGCAGTAAAAGTAGTAGTAGTAGTAGAAGACGCTTTACAGAGCATTATTCAGCATTATTCATTCACTCTATACCTGGTGATGGTAAGCTACTGTTGTAGCCACAGCTGCCCTGGGGTGGTGGTGGTGGTAGTAGTAGTAGTAGTAGTAGTGGTAGTGGTAGTGGTAGTGGTAGTGGTAGTGGTAGTAGTAGTAGTAGTAGTAGTAGTAGTTGCTGTTGCTGTTGCTTTTGTTGTAATACTAGTTGTTGTTGTAATACTAGTTGTTGTTGTTGTTGTTGTTGTTGTTGTTGTTGTAGTAATACTAGTTGTTGTTGTTGTTGTTGTAGTAATACTAGTTGTTGTTGTTGTTGTTGTTGTTGTTGTTGTTGTAGTAATACTAGTTGTTGTTGTTGTTGTAGTAATACTAGTTGTTGTAGTAATACTAGTTGTTGTTGTAGTAATACTAGTTGTTGTTGTTGTTGTAGTAATACTAGTTGTTGTTGTTGTTGTTGTTGTTGTTGTTGTTGTTGTAGTAATACTAGTTGTTGTTGTTGTTGTAGTTGTTGTTGTTGTTGTTGTTGTAGTAATACTAGTTGTTGTTGTTGTTGTTGTTGTAGTAATACTAGTTGTTGTTGTTGTTGTAGTAATACTAGTTGTTGTTGTTGTTGTAGTAATACTAGTTGTTGTTGTTGTTGTTGTAGTAATACTAGTTGTTGTTGTTGTTGTTGTTGTAGTAATACTAGTTGTTGTTGTTGTTGTTGTTGTTGTTGTAGTAATACTAGTTGTTGTTGTTGTTGTTGTTGTTGTAGTAATACTAGTTGTTGTTGTTGTTGTTGTTGTAGTAATACTAGTTGTTGTTGTTGTTGTTGTAGTAATACTAGTAGTAGTTGTTGTTGTTGTAGTAATACTAGTAGTAGTAGTTGTTGTTGTAGTAGTAGTAGTAATAGTAGTAGTAGTTGTAGTAGTAGTAGTAGTAGAAGAAGCAATAAAAGTAGTAGTAGTAGTAATAGTAGTAGTAGTAATAGAAGCAGTAAAAGTAGTAGTAGTAGTAGAAGCACTAATAATAGTAGTAGCAGTCGTAGTAGTAAAATCCTAGAAGTTGGGATCTCCAAATAAAATGAGCTTATTCATTTCACATAAGTCACATAAGCAATGTACTGATGTAATTTCTGAACACACTTGACATAACACATGACCTATTGAACACCTCTTCTTTTATTTCTCACACTGTCCCTGAACCTTACTTTTCTCACACTCTCTCTCTCTCCCACCTCTCCATCTTTTAAATGCCCTTTCCTCTGTCATATTTCGCAGGAACGCACAGGTCTTTTTCCGCATCATGAATGAGTCAGTGTTAGCCAAGCATCTAAAGAAGTACCACCCACGGGCTCCTGCAGTAAGTGACGCACTTATAGCCCCTCCGTTGTGCAACATTGTTTTGTGTTATGTGCATATGATAATGTTAAGCTGCCCATTCTTTCTGTACAGGCTCTGAGTCACAGCCATATAAGCGACAAGGTTACATAAGAATCCTCATAAGTGTACTGTTCTTGTGTATTGTTTAGAATTGCATAAGCTCTTTTTCATTAACAACACCATTATAGAAACATTTAATTGGACAGGACATGCTATGGTAACTAGGTGGAGTTCTGTTTTTTGTTGTTTAATTATAGACTTCATGGGTAGTTAACGTTTCTAAGACATCTTTAGACAATACCCTGAAAATAAAATATTACAGAATTCTTAAATTGTCTAAAAACAATAGGTCTGAATCTATCGAACTAGTGGGAAACTGAAACAATGCAGCCCTCTAGAGGTGACAGATGTGAACTAGAAGAGGAATGAGGAGAATGTGATATTCATTTCTAATCTATTTGAAGGCCTTGCTTTTACTCGTTTCTCTCTATGCGTCCTGGAGTTCAGCAGAATCAGTTGAGTGTGTTCAGTTTTCATAAATGATCACTTTTTTTTAAAGGCTCTCAAAGCGCTTTACATCACAGAACCAATCACCCATTCACAATAATACACTGGTAAGGGGTGAGGTGGGTTAAGTCTCTTGCCCAAGGACGCAATGACAGCAGAAATCTCACCACTACTTGATTAGTGACGTTTATGCCGAGAGCCGGATTTGAACCGCCAACCTTCAGTGGACGAACACTTTATCAGCTGAGCTACTGTCGCCCGTTATTACAGTTATTGCTATTATCATATAGTATGTAGTATTAGTATTTCAAAAGACTATTTACCAGAGCTGGGACCAAGTCGTTGTTTTGTAAGTCTCAAGTAAGTCTCAAGTCTTTGACCTCAAGTCCGAGTCAAGTCCCAAGTCTAATGCAGGGAGGTCTTTGAGTCTCGAGTCACTGGCCCATAAATCCAAATTAAGTCCAAGCCGTCTGCTTTGAGGTTCAAGTCATTTCAAGTCTTTAAACCAAAGTACCAAATATAGCTTAGATTTTTGCAATTTATATGACAATTTTTTAAGTCATAGTACATTTACGTAATGCAAATTTTTCCTTTTTAAATGTCTTGACAAGATCTTACAGTGAATCATTACAGTCAGAATAAAACAAATTCAGATTTAAAAGTGCTTCTCAAGTCTTCTCAAGTAACAGGCCTCAAGTCCAAGTCGAGTCCCAACTCTTAGTCCATTTTATCAAGTCAAGTCTCAAGTCCTAAAAATAGTGACTCAAGTCTGACTTGAGTCCACGTCATGACTCACAAGTCCCACCTCTGCTGTTTACTAAACTTACTCTATTTTTATCACAGAGGTGAATGATGAACAAACCAATTTAAAGATATGAAGTTATGGTTGGCTAGGTGATATGGCAAAAAAAAATCAAACACAACTTTTTGGTTCAGCTTTTTCTTTTTAAGAACACTAAAAATGACTTTCAATGTTTATATAGACATGAATGAGACACAACACAATATAGCCACATTTCTTCCTCCAAAGTCTGAACTATGCTTTAAACCACATGCTTTTACTGACTAATACTGAAAAAAACTAACAACTTCTTAACGCTCTGATTCCTTCATTATCTCTCACCCTTTACTGGTGAATAGATGATAGTAGTTGTACTGTAGGACTATGTGTTGGTTTTGAAGTGCAGCCATTGTGCACAGTGCCATGTTGACCAGGCTGTTGGCAGACTGGACCCTGACAGATGGTACTTAGAGATTCTAAGCTGTTTGGCCCTGATTAGAAACTGAACTGTCGACTAAACACAATGCCAGCTCCCACGGGGAAAGTCCTCACCACACTTTATTTTTCATCTTTGCTTTTTACTCTTAATAAAAGAAACAAGTCAGATAACCTATTCAAATAAAAAGCACCAATTTATTACAGAATTTTTATTACTCTTCTAAAAGTCAGTCAAAATAAAAGATATTACTGACATATTTCAATACTGACATAAAGCATCAACAAAATAGAACAAAAATAGAATTTAAGTATACGACTTTATGGGAAATATACAGTAAACTCATAGAGCGGTCATCCAATCACTACTCCAGCTGCACCTTAAAAGGGTTTGTACATGATTTTTGCATGTATTAAAGTAAAAGAAAAAATGCCCATATAATGCAGGGCCAAAATGAGACAGCCATGTGCTGTTTGCATTATTGTATACAAACCAGTTAACATTACCATAAACTCATTGCTATGGAGAATAATTACAAGAACATATGTTTGGACTACTGATTTTACATCAGGTACCTTTCCTTAATTAACACAACGCAACACAAACCAAACTGTCAGTAGACCTTTGCTCACATCCAACATATTCTTCCAATGATTGTATCACTGAGATTTCTTCCTACTGGGATCTAAGCAAGTCTTTTCACTGAACTATTTAGTCCCATCAGTCCTCACTTGTTGTGGTTGGTTGGTTGCCCATTGATGAACCCCGACTCCCAGCGCTGCCAAAGAGCGGCTCTGTGACCTCGCTGAACTTTGACCTCCTGCTGTGACACACACATTTAAGGACACGATTAGCTCTGCTCTCAGCTTACTCCCAGATTAGACTGAGTTTGCGGGACTTGGAAATTGCCATGTTTTGAAACAATGTCAAATGGGTTTAGGTGGGATTTATAGCTTACCTGCTCAGCTTTGGTGGGCTCTTTCTTGGAAGGCGGAGGCCACACACGCTCCAGTCGACCTGCGGTCTTAAGTGTAGGATCTAAAAGGCAAATGAAATGAGATGCTGAGATTTTAAAGACTATAGAATCTTCACTCACTTTAGCTTTATTTGCCTTAATAACTTCAGTAACTGTGAGCAATGAGTCAGTGTACTGGCTGTGAAGGTTTTTCTCTGTTACTCCTGATATCAAGTTCACTTTTGGCACAGTGATGTGTCCTCTGAGAGGGACAGACTAAGCTGCCAGGAGAGCAGTCTGATGTTAATGGTAAAGAGGTAAAGAGGTGCATTAAAGTGCATTGGCTGACATCTGAATGGCCTGAGATGCTGACAGAATATTGACATTTCAATGGAGAAGTGTGTATGGGTCCCTAACATTGTGCAACAGCTGCTCTTACTACCTACTAGGTTTATTACTCAGTACTGATCCAACAAAAACTTCTTATTTCACTTACAGTCAGTCTACAATACACAGTTTATGAGAGAGCTGTACCTGGTTTAAGCTTAGCTGTGGACATGCCCTCCTCTCTGCTGCCCTGCCTCTTCTCGCCGTACAGACTAGACCTCTGTTTGTGCAGCTCTTCTTCTCGTTTCTTTGCCTCCCTGATGTCCTTCTCCACTTCAGGCTGTAGAGACAAGGCTGGACGCAGTTTAAAGAAGGGATTTTCCTTTAGGAGTGGAGAACCTTCCCTGGTTGGTTCCGGCTTGGTTCTTCTGTCTCCTGTAGATGTTGGACTCGTGCTGATGGAGTCCATGCTTTTATGCATGCGTGTGTGTTTTTCATGTTTGGGGTAGGGACTTAAACGAGGTTTGTCTCTTATAGACGGACTCAGTGGCCTGAATGTTTCAGGATATTTCTCCTTTTCGGAGGCTGACACCAGGCGGAATGAATGTGTTCTCCACACTGGAGAGGTTTTTTGTGAAAACATCTCTAGGCTGCGTGTTCGCTCCAGCACAGTGGGGTAGACTGGCCTTTTAGGCAGTGAGGCCACAGGTTTTTTGATCCTTGTTGGACCCTCTGTCTTCACCTGCTGGAACGCTTCAAACAGAAGCTTTGTGTCCTTCATGTGCCGACTCTCCCCTTTGCTGTACTCTCCTGGGATCTTCCCTAAGTTCACCAGTACCATCTCCCTCTGCATGTCTTGACTGATGTCCTTCTGCATCTTCTGCTCTGAGAAGTGCCAATCTTCTGCTGGACCAGAGTCTTTTATTGTGGGGAGGGGCTCCAGACAGACATCAGTCTTAAAGGGAATTTCGAGTATGTCTGGATTTTCAGTCAGATCAAAGACTCCTTCTGCTCTCTGCAGATCTGGCTTGATCTGAGATGATTCTTGTAGCTGTTTCTCCATGAAGGTCTCTGCAGCTGAAAGTCTGTGGCAGGGAGGAAAAGGAATTCTGTTTTCATCTTTGGATTTCCAAATTCCATCAATGTAATCTGCATCTCTGTTTTCTTCTTCTTGTTGTTTGTCACTCTCATTATGGCTCTGAGTCTTTTCCTGTGTACAAACATCTTCTTCATACATTATTTTGCTCGCCATATAACATCTGTCTTCTAAATCACATTCTGCTGTCAGTTGGTGTATTCCAACAATTTGCGCTGCTTTTGACTGACTTTTTGACACGTCTTGTTCTAATTGCTTGCAAAGATCTTCATCTGTGCCAGTTTCTGTCACAACTACAAAGCATCTGGTATCACTTTGTTTATTACAATGAACAATTTCTGTTTTATGAATACTACAATGTTCAAATTGTGCTGTCATAGTCAACAAAGGTGATCCAGTTTGGGTCTGATCTGATCCTTCTTGAAATTCTTGAATGGTTTCTGGTGCTACATTTGTCTTCGTATCATCCTCTAGTTTTGGAGTCTGCAAACAAATCTCATCCAAATCTTGTCGCTGTTGAACTAGCTGCAAACGCTGCAGCAGGTTTTCACCTTGCAAGATTTCAGTTGCTAACCTACTATCTGACATTATCCCAGCTGACTCCTCTTCCTTGTCCAGTCCTCTGTTCTCAGTAGAGAGATCCTCTTCATCATCTTCCACTCCTGTTCTCCTTACCCAGTCATATCCTTTGAGATCACTATCCAATGCATCTTCAAGTGGGTTATCTGTCCCTTCTTTGTGTGAGTTGTCTCGACTTTGTGTTAAGGTAACTTCACTTGTGTTTTGATTGTCTTCAGTGTCAACAGATGCTAGATTAAATCGCTCAATATTTTGAATGTGATGGTTTAATCCAGTTTCATCCAGAAGATTGGTGTCCTTTACTAATTTTAATTCCTGATCCTGATCATCCAACATTTGATCTTCAGGCACCCCATCATTTTTATATTCTTTGGCTTCCCCGTCCGTAGAATGACAACACTCTTGAATCCTCAGTCTGTCTTCCAGGAGTCCTTGGTCTTGTCCCACGCAGTGTATCTCACTTGAACAGTCAGTCCGAACAACTTCCTCAAAAGTGGGTGAAGCATTTTCCATCTCCTCATTCACCTGGCTGGGACTTGTCATTAACTGCTTCTCCCCATGGTGCCAGTCTAAGCACTCGGGATTAGCGTTAGCCTTTGTGCCGTCAAATGACCTCTGGCTGACACTTTGGTCAGTGGCTGCTGCCTCACATGTGCTGCCCTCTTTTGGTTCCAAGCGGGATGCAAGTGAAGGTGATCTAAAGAGCTCATCAGGACATTCATCTTCCATAACACTGTAGTACTGGGCGGTGACAGGGGGGGTATGGGGTGTGGTTTCTGGGGTTTCTTGGAATGGTTCTTCTGTAGTTATTGACTGGCCTCTCTCCATCCTCTCGGGTTCTTCTAAGTCATCCTGAGGTTCTGGGTTTTGAGCATTAGAGGTGGAAGTGCTTGGGTCCATAGAGGGTCTCTTTGACTTTGATAACCCAGTTGTCAAGTTACCATCAAGTAACTGTTTATTCAAACTGAAAGTAAAAAGGAATACAAAAATGTACTGGTCACACTTTACTGCACAGTAATGGCAAAGTAATTTACTTAACTCAGTTTTCATAATAGGTTAGGTTCATAATGGGCTTATATTGCCATAAGATACATATGAAAAAAATAATCAAATAATAAACTCATGTGTCATTTGTTATTTTTTCCATTACTATTTTCATTGCAATTACCATAACATCACTTTACTATACTTGTACTCTGCTACAAACATAAGTGCACAGGTGCACCATGGAAAGCACCAGCACGTTTGTGCACCATGATTTTGTCTTGTACATTTAAACACATGGACACGCACTCATATTAAAAACTTTTTTGATGGATGGATTCAGTGTGTAGCATAGGCTGTGGTGTTGTTTTGGTTACTTTCTCAGCCTGACCTAGCACAGCGTGTTGTGCTGACAAAGACAAACACTAATCGGCTTTCGTGTGTTTTGGCTCCCTCAGAGCACTATGTACCTCACAGCACTGTGTACTGCTCAGCACTGGACAGCTCCAATGGGACTTGTCCAACACAAGGCACAGTCTGGCCTCGCCATGCATTTTTTTTATTCTTAGAAACTACATTTACACAAAAATCTCCCACAAGGTGTTCAGTAGCATACGGTTTTGTGATTTAGTGCAGTGCAGAATATTAAGAAGGAAGACTTGTGCCTGCAACAAGTTCACTTCAATGAAATATTGTTGAAGTATAATCTGCTTTATTTATAATATACTATTATTCCAAGCCTGATCCTCCCTCCACAGTTAGGGATTAGCAGCTCCATACGCTCCCGCAACAGGACACATTATCACACCTGATGAGATTAGGCCTTTATTCCATTTGCTTTGGTGTCTAGCTATTGTGAACAGTGTATTTGTTTACACTGAAGATCCCTATGACATTTACATTAATCCCTACACTATGTGCAAATGGGTGTTTCGTATACAGCCCATTCTGACTATTTATTTATGTAATAGGAAAGCTTGCACATTAATTCTACACAGCTATGCAGTATAATTAAGGCAGTTGGATTTTACTGTAAAGGGTATATGATTAAAATCTATAACTGATTAAGAAACCTCAAGACAATGGCAATAGTTTTATTATCAGTCAACACAAAATAACTATAGTGAAACCTTTGCCTTATAAATTGTAAATTAAATGAGATCTGAGATGTGAACCTACCTTGTGCTGAGTCTGCTGTGTGGTTGTCATCTCAAGAGTGCGATGGGAACAGGCTCAAATCTGAAATGATGATCTGCTCATGGGCTTATCAGCTGTCCCATGTACAGGTGAGTCACGCTGACCCAATCCACACATCACATCATATCTACGCCATAACTATAAATCCTCTCAGACTGCTGCATGCTTTCCATTGTAGTAGCTTGTATCCTCAAAAGTGCAAAATGGAGTTACTAGGCAACACCCCTATCCAAACTTTGCTGCATGATTCACCACAATAGCACATTTCATTGTTTTCAGAAAAAGAAAAAATACCAAATGTTGATCATTGTAGTGACAAAGTTCATAATTCTGCAAATACATTATTCAGTTTACTAATGTGTCTAAAAAAAGGTGAGCAGGCCATTTGTGCAGTTAAATATATTTTATGTACAGCTGCAGTATTGCCACATATTTAAAGAGCAGGTTGAGCTTCTCATGTTTCACCACCAGAGGGAGTAATTGTTACTGGATTGTACTTTCCCTTCCCAGTGAGTCTTTGGAACTGGAACAATTTGGCAGAACTTAACATCTATACTTTAAAATGAATATAAGCAAGTTAGAAGTGAATCACTGTGGTACAAATAGCTATAGAGTCAGCACCAGGTTTTGAATATCATTTTATCAAAATATTATATCATGTTACATAAATATTGAATCTGTGAGTATTAGTTTTACTCCTGAAAAAATTATGGGGGAAAATATGTAGCTGCAGTTTTTTCTGAAAAGCATTGCAATTGCAGTTAGATGTATGTTTTAATAATTGGATTCTGTTCACATTTTAGACTGAAATATGAACTGACAAACTAATACAAAAATTAGAACATGTTTGTACAGATCTAGAGTACAGGGTTAGTTTTTGAAGAATAAGACAGGATATTTTTTGTTTGTGCAGAAGGTTATGATGCTTCAGAAGTTGCAGCCTTTGCAATTTTCTAATAATTTTGATTAAACTGCGGTTAATCTTCCAGTAGCCTATGTTTGGATATATTTTTCCAATTTCATTTATTCACAAATAACAGGTGGTAAAATAGCTTACTATTTGTTACATTCATGTTTCATTATCATCACAGCTCAGTGATATATTTCAAACATTAGCTGACACTTGGTGGGTGGATTAGTCATATTGTTACTATTGACAAAGGCACAGTTTGGTACAGAACAGTCTTATGATTTAGTCCATTAATGAGTCCATATAGTTGCATAAGATTTTCCTTCACATAACTGTACAGCACTGACAGGTCTTACGTTTTGGCTTCCCCTGCCCCTCTGCCGTACTTTCTGACTTCTGGTGTCCATTCTCTCCTTCATCTACCTTCTGTGGCACCTGCTCCTTCTGCCCTTCCAGAGGCACCTCCTGGAACACTGCTTTGTCCTGGGACTCTTTGGGTGCTTTCTGAGCTGCCATATCTTCTGCAGGTTTCTGGGATGGAGCGATTGAGTCTGGTCCTATCACCAGTTCTTCTCCGTCGTCTGTGATGATGACTCTTTCTGCCGTGAGCATGCCCTGAGGTTCTTCTACTCCTAAATCTTCACCATCTCCGCGTCCATCAGTGTATCCCATGAACATAAGAGTAACAGGGCCTTCACACAGCATCTCACTCTCTGTCATTTCCACTTGGGGCGAGCTGTCAATCACCAATGTCTTTTGTCTAACCTCTGTTGCAGCTACAGTCTTTGACACATTTGCAAATCTATCTTTTTCTTTAAAGTCTGGACCTTTGGAGTTGTTTACAGATGGCATGAGCTGATTGCTAGACACAGCCTTTCCTTGACCACTTTTGGTAACTTCTACTTTCGTAATTTCTCGCTTTGGTGTTATGGTGACATCATCCAGCAGTGCCGTCATGCCAACCCCATCAATTACGCTCAGTATCTGACCCAATTCTTCGCTGGACGGTTGCTCAGCAGAGCCTCCGACCGCGTGGATACTCTTGCGTCCATCGTCGAAGATGGTGGGGGCCAGTTGAGAGTCAGGTGTTCCAGACACAGGGGTCACAGACCGGACGATGGTAGCGCCAGTTTTGGGGTCTTTCTCCACTTGAACTGCAAGCATCCCCAGGACTGTGAAGAGATACAGATGAGTCAAAAAGTTATACCCCAATTTTAAATGGAAAATGTTGAAAAAAACGGTAAATAACACATAAAAATATATGTTCATTTTGGATGGGCTTGGACATCTCAAACTGGTGATGAAGAAAGGGAACAAAAAGACTGAAAGAGAAGACTGTAACTGAACTATGCTCTTATTTTCAATTTTTGTTCACAATTTCATTTAGAAAAGTTGTCAAGCGTAATGGCAACACATTTCCTCATACTGTGTAGTAGTGTGTCTGGGTGCTTTAAAATCTACTATGCCAGAATCATATAGTTGTACATATTACTTTTGCAGTTGCCCCAATATAGCCTTTGTATTATGCCACATAGCATTAGGTGGCCCTGAGGTGCAGTGTTAAACATAGACTGTGTCTTGACTGTAAACAACCCCAATGTTCTTTCTAGAATGGACATGTCCTTTGCATGTTGAGACAGTGAGAAGGTGGCTTTGAAATTGTTAGAACTTTTTAATACATTGGATGGATATTGAGTTTGTATCATCTTTGCTTCTGAGTCCAAGATGGCCTCCCTTTGTAAGTAGTAGGATGATTTGTGTGTGACAGATGAGAGTTAGCAGAGCTGACAACGTGCAGCTCAGAGGGGACACAGTAGGACAGTGACGCCCACCAGCATGAATGAATGAAATATGAACCAGCTTTAATAATAAAGAGACTAATTAAAGGGCATCACCTAAACTGTTTGCTAAGTATCTCTGATCTTCAAGGGTAAGGGTTGATAATGCAAAGGAAATTACTATATCCATTAATTCAATATTTTTACCATTTATTTATGCACAGATCTCACTATTTGAGTTGTAACTATAGTTCATTTGACCAAGATTTGAAGTCACATATCTATTACATTGCCTTGTGTGTAGTCGAAAATGACCAAATATGTCAAATGTTGTAGTTGTTGCATTATTTATGAGTATTGTGAAATGCGTATGACACATTCAATAAATAACATGGATAAGATTTAAGATATTGTCAAAGGTCATTCAAATATAGTTATACAATTCTGGTGAAATGTCTTCATGAGTCGTATGGAATGACCACAGACAGCATCTTATTGCAGCACAAAAGTAGTTTAATCTTACAAATATATCTTAAATTAAATCCTAAAAATATAGCAATATGCATATATATCACATGTACAGAATATCACATGATGATTCAGATATGGAACATAACTCATGTGGTGTGTGCCCAGTTATGTCTGTAATGCCAATGTCATGGTGTGCAGTCTATAAGTGCTGTGAGATCACATGTCAGTGCTGCTATAAAAGGACTTGACATTCGCTACACAGGCTCACGCATTTCCACACGTTTTGGTTTGTCTGAGCGTGGAGCTGTTAAATTTGACCTATGCATTCTGTTTTGTTAGAACTGAAAAACAGAAGACATTGATTTGTGTAGCATCGCTTGTTAAGTGGTTTTAAAACCTGACCACTCATGACTAGTCATGTACCGATCCAACTTTTTGATTTTTAATACCAATTGCAATACTATAGCTTTAAGAATCTGATAACCGATATTGACCGATACCAGTGCAGAGACTGATAACAGCATTTTTTTAATTTAAACAAAAATAAAATAAGACCAAACTGATCCAAAAGTGTTATGTAGCTGCTATTTATCCCTCGAGTAACCACAGAAGAATTTTGTGTAAAGAAAAATTCAAAAATTAGGAGAATTTCTGGTCGGACTATGGGCCTGTTTACACGAGAACACTCGCGGGTAAAAATGTCAAAATATTTTATTGGAAATGCCTTTTGTGTAACGGTGATGGCATTTTTGGGGCTTAAAAATGCAAAAATCTGAAACCACCCTCCAGAGTGGAAAAGTTGCATACGTTTCCGTCTACACTGCCCAAGACGCAAAACTCTGATCAGATCATGTCATGTGTACACGTTTACATCACATACATACAGGACGCAGAAACAAACATGTTGGATGGTACGCATACTCCAATTAAATTTCCTCCCAGAAACGTTCGTCTAAATGTGGAATAAAAAGTGAAGATGCAACGACACTTTTGCATCTTCTGTTCAGACCATCATCATATAAATGTAGTCTATGTGACAGTCAATATTCTTATTTGATCAGTTTATATGTTCAACCAGGATACCAGCTGAACCCATATTTGGAACTGATTTTGGAAACCGAGTAGAGTTATACTAACTTGAGGGGAAAACATGTATTTCTTAAACAGAATAGACTGATTTATTGACATTGAATTGACTTTTTTTTTTTGTTTCTAAATATGTATTATATGTACATACCTGATCTTCCTTCATGCCCACTCTCATGGTATATCCTCTGTGCCATGATAGGAGTCACTATCTGTGGAGAAAGTAGAGCGTTAACAACTTTGCATTGTTTTCAACTAGTATCAGAGAGCATAAAGAAAAAGAGGGAAAGGCTGAGGTGGCTGAGGATTTGCTGCTCAACTCCAGGTCAGGCACAATCATACAGCATATATCTACTGAAGTATTGCTTTAAAATAGCGTTGGGGAGAATTACTGATGCTGTTGTAAAGACTTCACATACAGTTGGCTCCATTCTGTCAGTACAGTTTAAATAAGCGTTCTTCAGATGCAGACTTAGTTATGGTGCATTATCATCTATCTGCCGAAGCACCACAGAGTCCAGGCAGGCGACGTTATAAGAACAGCTCAGAGCATCTACAGAAGCTAACAAGAGCGTGCACTGGCTGCTTACCTACAGGCCACTTTCTCTACGCAGGACTATTTGTGGGACATTCAGTTGTAGGAGATTAGAGCAGAGTGTACTCTGTTACATACAAATATCTCTTATGAGCTGTTCTAAGTTTGGACTATGGTATGAATGTATAAACGTAGTGTAGCTCTGTTGCTTGATTCATTGGTTTGAGCTTCCTGTTACATGCAACAAGCAATTTTCAGGCCTTAATTTCAGAAAAAGTTCATAGCTATGGCAATGTCATTCGGAAACTCAGGAATAGACTACATCACTCAGCGTTGTGAGACTGACTGAGCTCTAACGCCTGAGTGTCTTTTCCCACTCTTCACCCTAGTTCTGTCCAGCATAGTCTACAAGCCAAAAAACAAAAAAACTGCACAATTGCCCCTACTAGAAAGTATTCTCTAGCTGAGTAAAATGTAGTTTGACAAACAGCTTAACAGACTCTAAAGGGGGTCGCTCATAGGCGGCCATGGGCCAGATCAGGGCCACCAAACTATTTTCCCATGATTTTTAAAAAATATATTATATATAATCTTTGAACCAGATGTTGTAATGTCATTTTCATTTACTTCTAGGGGTGTGCAAAAATATCGAAATATCAATATATTGATACAGTATCAATATTGTGAGCCACGTATTTTTTAGTAAATTTTACTAAATTATATTGTGTTACAGCGCTACAGTTTTGTTGTTGTTTAGACTAAGGATTCATATTCACTGTTTTAGATGATTAAAATGGGCGTGTTTCATATTAACTTTGCACAAGAAGTGGTTTAACAAAGACTTGTTATCACAGGTGTGATTTATCCTTTATTTTTTATTGAACCGTATCGAATCGATTTGAAATCATATTGAACAGAAAGTGGACTGTATCGAGATGTGTATCCTATCATGGCCAATGTATCGAGATGTGTATCATATCGACAACTTCATAATGATACCCAGCCCTATTTACTACCGATCTGGGTAGTCCTGGTTAGTTCTGCTTCAGTGCTTAATTTTCCGGCCTTATTTTGGCTTGTTTAAGATGTGGTTAAGGCCTGGTGTAAACATAATTTAGAGTTGGCCTACTCATAAAGTAGACAAAGGTTAGTCTTGGTTTAGAGTCCTAGTTCTGCTTTAGTCCTGTTTCAGACCTGTTTTTGTCCTGGTCTTTGTTTAAACTTGGTCTAGTCCTAGATCTGCTATGACCTTCTCTACACATTAAGCCTGGTTTCTGGTTGTCACAGTGTTATGTCTGGGCTTGATAGGATTTTTTTATTTTTTGGAGTAGATGTTTGTTGTTGAATCGTACCACTTGAGTTGTTTGTGAATATCACAGTGATAAAACATCAAACTGAGATGCAGTTTCTAAGAAAAATCTGGCCTTGGAAAATGTAAGACCGCTGCTCTAGAGTGATACTGTGAAATTTAAACTCACTAACATGGGATGCTATAAAGTTGATTTTAGCTAAAATATATTCCTTTGATCGTTTCTTTTCTTTTTAGTACTATTCATTATCTTGGTTTCCTTATCCTTCACACCTGCTGATTTCTCACCCTTTACTGATCAAACCGTTTCTATCTCATATTTGGCTAGCCAGTCAGCAGAAGTTTACATAAAGACGGCGAATGTTAAATGTGCATTTTAAATCCGGGACTTTATATTCTTATGTGTTCCATCCATAATTCAACATTTGCTCTGCTTGTTCGGTGTGTTTTTATTCTGTGCACATTTTCCGAAGCAGTAAAACCCTGCCTGTGCGAGCATTTATTCATGTTTATTTATTCAGCACAAAAAGCCAAAGCGTAGGACTGGTTCAAGAGGTCATGGCCAACACGTTAACATCTCCTGAATAAAAAGACAAATCTGCATTCTCATTTTTTATGCATGAGAGGGCTACAGAGGACAAAGAGGAACTAAGAATAATGTTAGAAGGTAATTTTGCAAGATCTTTACATAAGGATTAGAAGAAAGGATTGTGGATCAAAGCTGAAAAAAGTCTGCCTTGAATACAACAATACAACAAACTGGTGGTAATGTAGCTGCGTATCTGCGCCTCTGACATCTCAAACACGTCTCACCAATTCACACAGGTTAGAGTGAAATGTCTTGCCAAAGGATACAACAAAAGTAGGAAAGGGGAATTTGAACCAAGAATCTCTAGGTACAGGATTATCAGTTGCTTATGAGGTGCACTATGTAACATTTCTGACAGAGGGTCGGCCACCTTATTGTCTCCATAACTATGTTTTTATTTTGTCTAGAATGTTCCACAGTATGTCGTTAAATAGGTCTGGGTATCATTTAGAAATTGTCGATACGATACATACCTCAATACACAGGCCATGATACGATACATATCTCGATACAGTGCACTTCAATTCGATACCCTGGGAGTAACAATAACCAAAATATCGTGATATCGTATCATCAAAAGTCTCTCAGTAAGATCATGGGCATCACATTATATATCGAATTACAAGTTTCTTTGCATAAATTCGTTGTCATGGTGCAGCAATAGCTAAAAAACAGAGGGATCTACATAGACCATGATCCTTTGCTCCATTTTGGTGCAAACTACATTAATAAATAATAGTTCTAAGCACTTTTAAATCTTAGTTCTTTGAATTAAATCTTATCAAGGCATTTAAAGAGGAAAAAGTAGCATATTTACAATTCTGTTAGCCTCTAGAAAATATCGCAATAAATACCGTACCGTGAGATGTATATCGTGAAAATATCGTACTGTGAGATTTGGATATCGTTACATCCCTATTCAGTACAATATATTTCAAATCAATTCGATACTGTTCAATAAAAAATAAAGGCTAAATCATGCCTGTGATGCTAAAAGTCTTTGTTAAACCACTTCTTGTGCAAAGTTCATATACACACATTTTAATCATCAAAACAGTGAAAATGTCAAATGTGCTGCATAAACAAATTTCCTTCCTCTAAACAAGCGACACAACTGAGTGCTGTAACTAAATAATTTAGTAAAATATACCAAAGAATACTCCTGGTGATATATCGATACAGCAGCCCACAATATCGATACTGTATCATCACATTAAATGATACAATATAGTGATATTTTGATATTTTTGCACATCCCTATCGTTAAATGTATCTATCTCTATGGAGACAAGCAGATCAGGCTAAACGGTACCCACACACACGACACCACTCACAGTAAGATTGCATGAATACACTGATCGATATCGAATACATGCGTTCTAGATCAGTTTAATGCCATACTGTGGAACATTCCAAGCAAACCAATAACATCTCCACTTGAAAAGTTACACGGCGCATTTTTAACTCCATATTGAAGGTTCTATATTACATAGAATTGACTCTTGTGAGCTTCAGGCCATGTTAGAAGCCATGTTGTTGTTACCTCCTCAAAAACATACCTGGAGTTGTGTTTTGTTTTGTTTCTTTGACATATATAATCCTGCATTAATAGTCTGTCGATATCTTCAAAGATCAAAATTCTCTGTTTCACCTTGTGATGTCATGAAGTAGTCGTTCTCAAGTTAACAGCTACCGTTTGTTACCATTTGTCCAATCAAATTTGACAATTCCAAGGACTGAGATTATCCAAATGATTCTAGTGAAGGTGTATGGAGTTTAAAAACACGGTGGAGCACTTCCTTGAGCACTTCTTTTCTATTTGAGAGAAGAACTCAGATGAAATATGCAGGGTTTGTGTGATAATGAACGAATGAAACAAAACACAGCTCTAGGTTTGTGATGAGGAAAGACAGATCAGAAAATAGCACATTATAGAGCATTATAGTTCTTTTCTATTTGAGTCTGAATTGATTGATTTTAAAGGTGCACTGTGTAGCCTTTCTACAGTATGATATCAAACTTGTCTGCTTTGCATTTATTCCATTATAGGCATTTTATATTCCTTAAAAATATAATGAAAAACAGGCATTCTTACTAAACATGTAGATGCCGCTCCATAGATCTGACCTGTATCTAGGTCTAGTTTCATTTCTGCCTATCTTCATGGAGATAGATGAGTTCAATGCTTACATTCCAGCTAAAGCTATAACAGCTCTATGGAGACAAGGAGTTGGTGGACCCTCCACAAGAAAAGTTACACAGTACGCCTTTAAGTTGAGGTACAAGTCCAAGGAAACTAGGAAGTATTCATGTGTCAATAAGACAACAAATTAGACACTGTTAGTGAATGTGCATCATTTCCCATAATCTTTAAGAATTTCACGCATTTATTTCTCGGTTTGATCAATTTTCTGTCATGTGTGTCATGTGTTGTCCCATACCAAACCGATTTCTTACTTATGCACCTGATTCCTTCATCACATGTTTGCAGTTTACTGGCGTCTTCACGGTCACTCTTTCAGCCTGCCTGCAAAAACCTCCCCAAAGCCCCGTCTCCACTCTCAATCCTTTCATCTTCCCCCCCCATGCCTGTACGTGCAGACCATTAAAAGCACTTAGTCGACCGATTCTCCACACAATCCCCGCTAACCTTATATTTTCAGGGCCAAATGTGATTATAGCGTTTTAAATATGGCTCTTATACATAGCTCTAAGGTCAGCCAGTTTCCGGTGAAGATGGAGGAGGAACTTTGACTAAGCACATAATCCGTGTAGACTAGCTTTTTTGGAATTCAATTATTTAGGGAAGTAGCATTAAATTCAGCAATAAATTTCTATTAAACGTTTGCCATAAATTACTCGCATGAACAGTAGAGTTGATAGCGTAATCTCCACCCAGACTGGCAACGTACGCAATATGAAGACTGTGAAAAATGACTATTTTGGTGAAATCGCCGTATCATGATTCTGTAACATACATTACAGCAGTAGTAGTGGTAGTAGTGATAGTTTTAGTCCTTGTTTAATCTTGGTGATTTGGTCATTGCTTGCTTGTTTAATCCATCTGTATACCTAATTTATTGTTCTTGGTTGAGTCAGTGCTACATTAATTTGGGCCTGGTTTAATCCCTGGTTTAGTCCCTGGCTTGGTTCCTGGTTTAGTCCTGGTTTAATCCTGTTTTAGTCTTACTTTAGTCTTGGTTTGGGTCCCAGTCTAACATTAGTTTAATCCTGGTTTTGTCCAGTATAATTCTGGTTTAGTACTATGTTCTAAGTTCAAACATTTTCTCCATTCACTTTGTGGGTCAGCCTCCATCACTTTCTCAAATACACAAGTTTAATGCCATATTTCAATTGTATTTTTTCCAAGATAAGCCCCTTGAGATGCCTCACCATCCTGTTTTTGAGGGGGGCTTGACTCAACTGTAGAACTTCACAGGAAAAGCAATAACTTTTTTATGAAAACAAGTTCACTGTAGACAGCTACTTGAAAAGTTTTATAATAAACTTTCATCAATCTACTTGGTGTGACAAATTATCTCTAAATACAAGAAAACAAAAACATATTCCACTCAAAATAGACAATACTCTAACTTTGTGGTGAAAAAAAAGCTCTAAACAATTCTAGTCCTAAACAGCAGACGTGGCGCAGATGAAGCAGCTCTCCACAGACTGGTCTGTGAGCGGCCATGTTGGATGGGACAGACTGTTTGTGTCTCCCAGTGACAGAGGAAAGGTGTCACAACCTCAGACAAGATTCAGTCTGTCAGTGCGATCTGTGCCCACGACTCAGCCACAAAACACAACACAGCTCAAAGCGCACAGCTCACTGTTTCTGTGCTACATGGAAGTCTAACCTGCTGAGACAACACGCTCCGGGGCTGGGGATGAACAGAGGATGCTGTGCAGTTAAATAGCTCTTTTTGCACGAATCATGTACAAAACACTAGTAGCAATCGAAAAACACCAAGGTCAGGAATTTGAAAATGCATATTAAAGGTGCACTGTGCAACTTTTCTAATCAAGACAAGGCAAGTTTATTTGTATAGCACAGTTCACACACAAAGTAATTCAAAGTGCTTTACAGAATAAGAAATACATTAAGATCACAATATAAACAAATCAAAACAAATCATTAATAAATAATCATCCTAAAAATGTAAAAGAGAGTGACATTAAATGATAGAGAAAAGTGGAAAATGAAAACCTTTCAGTCATATGCACAGCTAAACAGAACAGTTTTGAGTCTGGATGAATGAAGGGTCCACCGCTTATTATTACTGTTTTGCCTTGATTATTCCACAGTATTTAAATAAACTTGATAATCACAATAGAGACAGGTTACTGGTCTGATCTATGGAAAGGCAAGCCTGCTCATGGAAAGAATTCGTTTTTAAGGTATTTTTGAGCTATAAAACCCCTATTATTGAACAAATGAAAGGGAGATATGTTTAATGCCCTACTGTGAAACATTCCAGGAAAAGAAATAAAATCTCCATGGAGACAAGCAAGTAGCGGACCTTCCACTGTAGAGGTTACACAGTGCAGCTTTAAAAGAGCTATACACAACACTGCATATTGAACATCCACATTACTTACTTCATTGTTTCTTATACCTACATGTCACTACTACTTCTGCTATTTTTCCATGCAACTTTTTGATATGCACAAAAATAGTTGTAGTTGTTCTATATCAAGAGGGGTTGTAGACTAAATTCTTTGTCTCTATTATCAACTAAAATTGACAAAGATTTAAAAAAAATATAAGAACAAACTCAAAATCTTAAAACTCAGTCCATGCCTTCTCTTTTCTGCTGTGGTCAGTGTCAGTCCCAAGTCCCAAACTACACCCCTATTTCCATTATTTCACTTGCAAACATTCATTTTTTGGTCAAGTGGTGTAATATCTCTGTAACTGGACAAAATTACTGGGAGGGATCCCTCTGAACAGTGAGCTCAGAGCAGTGAGATCAGAGGGTGGGTCTCAGGCCGCAGCCAAAACAGAGAAAAGGATATATACACAAACAGAACAGTTTCCTCGCAAGTTACACACTTTTAGGAGCAACGTGTATTTAAGACTTGACATTATAAACCAGAAATCAACATGAGCAGAGAATTGTCCTAGACTGGTTTATCAGTGAGCGTGTGTTACAGAGAGATACCAGCATTTGCCATGTTGTTTTAGCCCCTCCTCCTTTTACTTCCCCAACGGAAAGAATTCTTAAAAACAGAACGATTAAAACACGTAAGGCTGTGTTATTCAAGAGGGAATTCCTACTGACCCCTCTTTTCTTCTCTCTTTCCTGAGCAACTGATAGTGTCAAAGTATAAAAACAGGCTGCCAGGTGAGTCATGTGACCAGGGGTATCCAATGACTGATGATGTTTATGTCACTTTCTAGCCTTGTTACTCACCCTGACCTGAGATTTCAATAACCCACTTGGAACATAGTATTTACCACAAAAACAGAACATATTTTTTTATTTGAAGTTGTGAGAAATGCTGAAAACCTGACCATGACCTGTAGGTTAATGATGCAACTATGAGGACAACAATGTGTATTGTAAACGTAGAAGATAGTGCAAGATAGTGCATCTTATCACAATGGAAGGACATCCTATCCATTTCTTGTTTCAATTGTTAAGTAAGATATCTGTATTAGTTATCTATGTGAGGAGGAAGAAAACTGTAAACATCTACCATTTGGCATTGAGTCGCCATAAGTAGCTATTCATATATTTAAAAAAATGACTGAGTGAGTTTTAACACAGTAAAAATGGTACATGTTTAAAATAGGACTGGTTACGTAACACATTACAACTCAATGAAAGATGTGATCTATATTTAGAGCAGTATTTACGTTGAGCTGTCAGACCACAAACCCACACTTAATCAGCTGTGGTCCAAACTCACCAACCGTTCTGTTTACTTCTGGTACCACCTGTCACCTGGCATTCAAAGCTGTACTGTAAATCGTACTTGTTACAGTAAATCATTTTAGCGTAACCTGATCCACTCTTCTACATTAAAACATATAGTCACCCATGGGTATTGTAAGTGTGAAAAATGCTGATTAAATGAATTAACCCAAATTAACTTATACCAGAGAGACCTTAGCAGCTGGACAGTCACCGTGGCATTTGTCATGTTTTTCCATCTCAAAATATTCTTCTCATTCAGGGAAAAATTACATACTTATTTACAAATACAATGTTCCTATAACTATTTCTTAAAAGGATAATTTTTGTTGCAATTGTTGTCAAATTCTGCAACAACAACAGTGTCAGGAAATCAGATATCTTACCTTAATTATTCCCAAGACTTTTGTAAATCTCCAAAGTTGTTCCAAATTCCAAAATCTCACAAGAGAGCCTGGTCCTCTAACTTGAGTCTTGGTCAAAGAGCAGTGCAGCTATCCCGGGGCGAGTGGGTTCCTCCGCCCCCTGGTCTGGCCCCTCCCATTTAAAGTGTCCCACAGTGAGATATGCGGTTGTGTGTATTTTTGGACACACAGCTGGTGGAGGCCCGGGATGCCAGTGCAAATGTTGGAGTGACACAGCACATTGTGGACATTGTGACAGGTCTTTTAATGCGGTGGGGACGGGGTGATCTCAGGACTGCACCAGCCTGGGGAGGGGGGGTCAGAAGGCCAGATATTCTCGCATCAGTAACGATTTGAGAGAATTTTTCTGAGGATTGTGACAAGGGAGAGACATGCTGAGAACTAATATAACAATTCCCAAAGGAACTAATGACCTTCTGGATTTGTGTATAGTGCCAGTTTAGTTCTGATAGCTCTGGTTTAGTCCTGGTATAGTCCAAGTTTGAGCTTGCTTACAGATGACATATTGCTTCTAGCAGCTATACACATTTTAAATTGCAATATATAAAGTCGGCTAACTTCCTGTGGAAAACTATGGCACTGATTTCCGCTTGCCCCTTTAGTATGTCATGTAAATGTCATCACAACAAAGTGCCATGCTGTTGGATCAGGCTTATGACCTTTTTATTGTGTCAAAAAAGCTGCTGAATCATATCACCATATAAGAAACAAAGGAGGCTAAGAAGAGTGTGTGATAGGAGCTATGAGAGAATGGGAATTTTGGATGTGGAATAAAGATTACTCAACCATACATAAATGACTCTAAATAGAAACAATTATAACATGGTTAAAACCTCATAAAAGACCATTTGGGATACTGCATATTTAATATTGCATAACTATAAATAAAATAAGGATAATTTATGGGAGGCAACGAACACATCAGAATCCAAATCTTCGATGTGCTTTGCAGATATGTGTGCTCACAGCATAGAATAATTCATTTATTTTATATCTTCATTTGTTTATTTATGAATATTATGGTGTGTATAGGTCATTAATCATGATGTACAGTTATTTTATGTATGATTTGTTTGTCCACAAATGAGTGTGCAGACATGATGTTTGTGCTTGAACAGCAGGAGATGTGTGCAGTAGAGCTTCTGCCAGTGCAGCATCTTTGAAGTCTGAAGACATGTTCATCATTTTTCATTAATGACTTTTGGATCATCCATAAAAGAAATGAAGACTCTGCCTCTAGTTAGACTGCTAACTGAGAAACACTCTGATCAAGAAAAGAATCTGCTTTGGCTGAGAAAATACATTTTATTTTCAAATATTATACACGATTCCAGACCATTTTCACTTAGCCATCTTCACTTTTGGTTTGACGAGACAATGCCATTTAAAAAGCAATAGGCGACTTTCAGCTGATGTCATTGTCATTAACATTTAATTATTATTAAAAGTCCACGTTGCATGCTGGGAAATATTTTGGTCGGAGGCAAGAAACACGGTAGCAGTCAAACACAGTGCGTAACCTCGCGTATTTATCCCCGATAATGGTAAATTCCTGCTGCATCATCGGATGCACAAATAGAAGCACGGAAGAAGGAAAATGTCTTTTTCGTATTCTGAGTGAAAAGAACTGCTAACGGCGAATTAAATGGCTTTCAAACATTCACAGAGCAAACGTAATAGATCCTAGCAAACTGTGGACTCCAACAAGTTCAACAACGCATCGAGACTCTTGGAGGCGTTCATCTTTTCTGCTGTGAATGGCCCAGGAGTTTCCACCAAGTAATTGTGGATATCGCCAAAGTGAATATTTAGCCAGGTGGTTGACCAGAAATTTGGTTTGGTCCGCCTTTTGTAGGGGTTGAAAAGGGTGATTTGTCGTCCATCGATGCTTATGACTAATTTCTGGTCAAATCGTCTTGGGTCCTCTGCCGTTAGATTGGATAAATAACCGGGATCAATACCCTTTACGTGCTTTCTCGCTCTGTCCATCATGTTGAATTAGTGTTTCTTGCCACCGACCAAAATAATTCCCAGCATGCAACGCGCGCTTTTGTCAACAATGACAATTTGCCTATTTAAGATATTTAAGAGCATAAAAACATATTATTTTGATAAAAGACAAATCAAGCAAAAGTCTCCAAGAATTCTCTCTGGAAGTCGTTGAACCGAATCATATAGGCCTGGGCTCATACGTAAGGCTACACTGATTATAGGCCAGTACTCAACAGTCTACTTACCTTAACAAAGCATTTTCTTGAAATGGCAGTTCAAGTTTCAGTCAGAGGTTGTAACAATGGGCCTATATCACTTTGTAGAAATCTAACATACAAAAAGCCTTACAAAGTTTAGAGAAAAAGATCAGACCAGTTCAGCTCATGAAAGTCTAAACTGCAGGTGTCACGCTAATACGCTCACATCTTGTGTTTTGAGAGCAGCTTCAGTCTCAGAGCTCTTTCAAATGCTACAACGTGACTGCTAACCCTGAGGGGACCTTCTATGCTAGCTCATTTTCACAGCAACCCCAACCCACGCATGCTACACAAGTACAATCGCACTGCCGGGGGTTCCTAAACATGAGACACTACATGCTAACGTTGCCGCGAGTTAATGACATGAGACACTGAGGTTGGCAGAGAAGCTAGTTTCATAGATACCTTTCTTCTCATGCTAACACGCTAATATCTCTGCAGTGTGATATGAGGCTATTGACAGGGTACGAGACATGGGGAAAATCTGACCTGCATGTGTGAACTCGGACAGATGGACACTTAAAGATGGCCTTACAGAAAAATAGAGCGTTACTGATGATGTTTAAAGCATAGAAATCATCTGAAAGGCGCTTTGAATTACCATGTGGTTCATGTCACTCTGGGAATTCCCGAGAATAGAAAGAAATAGAAAGTCAGGCATATGCCGCGTGACTCAAAATGAGACTTCACAAGTTAAGACAGTTTTTTTGTGAGAGAAATGTATAATTGGATTTAGAAGCAAGAAATGAGGCTACTAAAAAAAAAAGAAGGCAATGATGGTCAAGCATTTGTAGGGGACGATACACCATGAGTCCAGACAATTTGCTGCAGTAGGTCTGTGATCAGGATATAGGGCAGGGGTGGGCAGTTTTTGTTTTGTGTTTTTCCATGGGGCCAAATGAGAAACAGAAAATATTGTGGAGGGACGGGCCAAAATGCTTAACTGAATTCTGCATAATATTAATTGTATTTCCTTATAAAAAGCAGTAAATTGCATTGTTTTGACGAGCTGGTAAGACTGTTAAGCGTATATGTTATGATTAAGCAATTAAAAAGTGAGGTTGCCTTACAAAAAATGTCATTTAAAAAACATCTCTAAAATAAAAACAATGCACCTTCAGTCCATGCATGAGGATGATAAAATATGTTTAGTTTGTAATTCCGAATTATCTTACAGAGGGCTGTGTGTGGCCTGGGAGCTGTACAATGGAATCATGAAGAACCCTCTCTAATGATGGAAGGTAATGCTGTGTTATAACACTTATTGTTGTTGATCTCCATGGTCACCAAGTAGCTAATAATATATTGTGCAAAGAGTATGATTACTGAGCACTCCACTCACTTGTGAATCTGAGAGACTTCTATCAGAGTAACCGAGCAAATTTTCAAGAAAGTTTTCTGTATTTAAACTAAAAACTTACACACAAAAATAAACAAAATATATACACATTTTTACTGGTATATAACAAATTAGTCAAAAATAGGAACACAATGGTTTTGGATCAATCTTCCGTGACAGGGGACACATGGGTCAAACTGGGACTCTCCTTGGTAAATAGGAAAGTTTGATCACCCTGGTCACAGCCTACAACTTCTACTTCTCATTCTCATTCAGACCAAATGAATACTTTGGCAAGACACTTGATCAGCATTGTTTTAGTCTTTATTTAGCCTTAGTTTAATTGTGCAGCCAACTACAATCATTCCTACCGACCAGCTTTGAATAGCAATGCCAAATGATTGCACTACCTTGCTATATTTTATGGAGCGCTCTAATAAACAGTAGACCTAACTGTTTAAGATTGTAATACATATCCACCACCCACACACACAGCAGACCAAGGCTTGGGGGCATTTTTTGGTTGTGAGTAATTCCTTGCTGTTTAATGAGCCCAATAATTGAGGTTGGCCCGTCCCGTATAATCACTTCATATAAGTGTGTAAACTGTACAGTACACCCCTCCCTCCTCGCTGCGCTCAACACAAACTGTACAGTACACTCCTCCTCTCTGCTCTGAATATATGACAACAGCTTATGTACAGAGACTGAATGGAGATGACAGGATAGTAAGGGCCTATGTCGTCTCCTTTTCCCTTGGGGACTTCAAAATGGCCTCTTACCAATGTCACTTCTCTTTAGCAACACACTCCGTTCAGGTCTGGAGAGAAAAGTGACAGGGTAATCGTGCCGATGCCGAGAGGAAGAGGCACTACGATGACCTCTGGGTTGATGCACAGTTTCAATTTGTTTTGTCTTATTTTTTTATTCACATAAAATAACCCATACCCATTTTGATGTCATGCGGCAATACAAGAAGTGCTCCACTGTGTTTTTAAATGCCATAAACCTTCAATAGATTTATTTAGATGATTTCAGCCCTGGAATTGCCTATCTCCACTAAATAAAGGTAAAAGGAGCTGTTAACTACTAAAACAGCTTTGTGGGTGGAACAGAGCATTTTGAGGTTTGGAGAGTAATATAAAGGGTTACTCAAACATGCGTGAATGAAACAAAGCATAACTCCAGGTATGTTTTTGATGAGGTAAAATTAGAACATGGTTTAAAGCTCAAGTTTGTTTAATGTAGAACCTTGTTATGGATATTAGTTACCACGTAGTTAGCCTCCACGATGCCTTTGAACTCTTTATATTAGATTTTTTTAAAGGGACAGTCCAGAATTTTGGATATAGGACCTCTTTTCCTATTTAGCCAGAGTGTTGGAGACGTGTGGAGACACTTTTTAAAATATTCCATCCAGTCCTTGTATGTGCAGAGGTCGATGGTGCTAGGCTAGTGCATGTCAATAGCCATAGTTATCCTGCCACTAAAAACTCTCTTACCC